GCAAACCGTTGAAAATTGTTGAAATCGGACTAAAATTGAGGCCGCTTTTCATATAACGGTAAATTTCAGAAATGCTTGAAATTTCAATATTTCGAAATTTAAGGACGCTAATTTACTTAAAATGTATACACCCCGGCTTATCATGTAGCGGTAGCTTTCGGAAAGGAGGAAAACATATATTTAATACTTGCGCCGGGTATTTAATGTTCGGCTCCGCCCGAACTTAGACTTTCTTACTTGTTTTTTTAAATCCCACGGTTTTTGTTAGTTGGGTCATATTCCACTTCAAACTGCTCAGTTTCCTATGAAAATTCAGGGGCCTTTGGGAGGAGCCCAAGGGTGGGGTACGCCTTTTTAGAAAGCGGGGACTGTCCCCTTTCCAGTGTGGGCGTTTGGCGGACCCGCCCCCTCACCCTCGACCCCCTCCGCCATCAGCCCAAAAACGATGTGAGCGCTACTATGTCGACATTCAGACGCGAAAACTTTTGTTGCGGAAACTCCAAGCTTGTAGGGGAGAGAGCGACGAGGAAAGGGGACGGATACCGAGTCGCCCGTACTCGGGAAACACGCTTTGTGCTCTCGTTCGTCGTTCGAGTAATTCAAGTTGGCGATTCATAGGGAATTTGGCATACATCAAGATAACCAACCGTTCAGCTATAGAAAAACTAAAAATGCAGATTGCTAGTACTTTTTACGCTGATTTTAACTATATAAATATTATTTGCCGCAATTAAAAAGCAAAGCAGATATAAGAGGTAAAACAAAAAAATTGTGATATTTTAAAACATTAATATTTTCTAAACTGCGTAACCGATTTAAAAACTAATGATGTCAAAATAAAGACAATTAATTTATCTTCAAGCTGATATATAAAATGTGTATGCTTTTTTTATATATTTAAGCCAAAAATATTATAAAACCAAAAAAATGTCATAATTTTTTCATAAAATAACCCTTTTTTAGAAAAAGTCCATAATCAATGCTAAAAAAATTTATATTATTGAAAAAGTGCAAGTTCTTACCTTTGATTTGATATACTTATTATATTATGATTTGCTTTTGAGTTTTCAGAATTCAGTGATAATAAAAAATATAAATGCATGTATTTGCAAATGGATATTTTAGTTAATTAAACAAGGCGAGTTAACAGACTTTTTTGGAAAGGGTACTGTTTTTGTTGGAAGCGGGAAAATTTATGCCGTTTTATATGTACATATATGTATATACTTACAGCTATTTTTCATTTGTTTGTGTTCTGGCGGAGATAAAAAACGTGTTTTGAATATTTTTTGAAAAGATGAATACTCTTAATTTATTTAAAATATATAAAATGTTTGAAAGTGAGGACGGTCTTAAGATTAATGCAAATGTGCTCCCCCCCCCCCCGCCTTTCATGGCAACACAGAAAGGAGAATTCTACTTAGTGAGGGTTATAATCACTAAGTGCGGCCAAAGGCCGCCTACGCAGAAAGGTGTTCTCTGTAAAAGGTGTTCAGCCTCACTTCTTCAGCAACACGGAAAGGAGAATTCTACTTAGTGAGGGTTATAATCACTAAGTGCGGCCGAAGGCCGCCTACGCAGAAAGGTGTTCTCTGCAAAAGGTGTTCAGCCTCACTTCTTCAGCAACACAGAAAGGAGAATTCTACTTAGTGAGGGTTATAATCACTAAGTGCGGCCGAAGGCCGCCTACGCAGAAAGAAGTTCTGGGCAAAAGAAACTATGATATCACCCACATTTGTCACTTTTGCTTGTAAATGCTTTTAATTTTTTGTATCACTAAATTCTTAAACCTCAAAAGTAGATCATAATAAAATATGCATATCAAATTAAAGGTAAGAACTTGCACTTTCTAAATAATATATATGTCTTTAGCATTGATTATGCACTTTTTTCTAAAAAAGGTTATTTTATGAAAAATTATAACATTTTATTTGTTTTTTAATATTTTTGGCTTAAATATATAAGCAAGCAAACGCATTTTATATATGAACTTAAAGATGGATTAATTGCCTTTATTTTGATATCATTACTTTTTTAATCGGTTACGTAGTTTATAAAATATAATTATTTTAAAATATCACAAAAATTTTTTTAACCTTTTACATCTTCTTTACTTTTTAATCGCGGCAAATAATATTTATATAGTTGAAATCAGCGTAAAAAGTACTATCGGTCTGCATTTTTAGTTTTTCTATAGCTGAACGGTTGGTTATCTTGATGTGTTCCCTAAACCCACCCGCCACGGTTCCTCCGCCACACAAATCGTTGTACAAATACATTTCCCTACTATTCAACTCTCGCATTCAACAAAAAGTAGAACAATCATATATGTTACATATATAAAGTAGAACAATCATATATGTTATATATGAGAACAATGCTAACACTGCTTAACCGATTGAAGTTCTTACAATGCCATTGACAGTCTGCATAGCCTCGTACAATGATTTTTTGGTATGATTCGTCCTTCCCGTACACTTTTATGAGTACATATTTAAATATTCCTACCCCAATGTCTACGCTAGGTACCGCCTCCAATTTAGTATCCACCATTTTGCAAATACTACGAAAACCTTTAAAGAGATTTTGTATTATTAAATAAGAGATACTTCGTCAACAATTATTACTTAATGCAGCTATTAGAAGGGATAAAACGAGACGAATAAATATAAGTTAGAGATTCGATGGCACTATCGATAGTACCGATAGCTTCTATTTGTCTCCACGGTTGCCAGACACAAAAAGAAATTATGAATAGTTTATAAAAAAGTTACCTAGAAGCTAACAAGTAAAAAACAACGTTCTATTATACAATAAACATGATACAAAAAAGAATGTAGTTTCATTACTACTATTTTTTGATTATAAAGCAGATTTTTGACATTTCTCCACATGAAAACATTAAGCATAGCTTTGTCACGTTGTAATTTTTTGGGCATGGGGTTTTTTTTATAAAATATTTGGGATTTATTAGAAGAGAATAATGCACATATAAAATATGCCAATTTGACGTGATCGATGAACAAATTTAAAAAGTTTTATTAAGCGTTTAAATATCCTTTGAAGAATATCAATCTACTGAGTTGAGAAAATAAATTAAATTCAGTTTTAACAACTTTATTAGTTTTTAGCCATAGATGGTAATAAATAATGCTTTATTTTCCTAAGTCATTTTATTCTAAACGAACCAATTTACATGATAAAGCATTAATTTAGGTTATAACTTTATTTACATTTTTGCTGATATTTAAATTTTTTCCCTCCTTTATTTTTCTGTACAAGTATCTTATCCTAAAAAATGGTTCTCCCAAAAAATAACACTTAAGGATTTTATTTTTTTTTTATTTTACTTTGGTATTGATTAGCAAATTGTAAATATATAATTTGGAGCAATAATAAGCAAATGTCCATTCATTTTGATCAAAATTGTCTTATTTTCCTCAAACATTTCAAAAACTGTTAACTGCGTAAAACTGTGTGTCATTGCGCAGGGCAGGAATTTTAGCATTCAACTTAGGCTATCTGCACACTTGCCGTCCAATCACAGTTGCGTTATCGTCTCGCCCTGAAATTTTAAGCCGAACACATGCATTTCAAAGGAGATTTGCACACTTGTCGTTATCGGCTAATTATCGGCAAATCGTAGAAAATGCAGAAACGGATATGTACGGCACTGTCGTTTGCTAATCGATGTGCACGTATTGTTTGTTTACATTTTATGGGGAAAATTAGTGAAAAAGTTAATATTTGCACTAAAATTGCATAAAAAATAGTATTTTTTGCATAAAATCTGTGGAAATTATTAAAAAGTGGATAATTGTATTAAAATTCAATAAATGTGAGCGTTTTAACTATAAAATATGACGAAATTGTAAAAAGTCTTTGTGTATATGCACAAAACACATTTCAGGAAAAGAAAAGAAGAGATATTACTGAAAAATGATATCTAGACAGTCTATATTTTACAAATTGCATGCTCCAGGTGAATTTTTAGACGCCAAATGAATTGAAACATCACGCCCGAGTGTGCGAAAGTGTAGTCGTCATGTAATCGTTGCATCATGATTGTGACGATGAAACAAGTATGATTGAACGACCAATGTGCCAAAAGCCTTAAGGGCTAACTATAATATGAATAAGCAAGCGTATACAAACGTGCGAATACACATAAATCTTATTCTGACACTATAATGTGNGTATGATTGAACGACCAATGTGCAAAAAGCCTTAAGGGCTAACTATAATATGAATAAGCAAGCGTATACAAACGTGCGAATACACATAAATCTTATTCTGACACTATAATGTGCTTAACATCAAGTTTCGTCCAGTTTCGCCAAACGTCATTTGCTTAACTGCCCGTCTCCACAGGATAAAGTTTATATCTTGATACATATGTTAGAATATAAATAGCCAATGGAGACCGCTCATTGCTCTTCAAGAGCAATATATATCAGAGCTTATATCTTGCCATCTATTGCCGGCAATTTGGTAGTTTGACAGCTACATGTTCATTTGCATGAAAACTTCGTGGCGGCAACATTATTGATATTTTAATATAAAAGCAAATATTGAACTGTTTTCGGTTAAAATATTTGTTATTATGTAATTGGATGTAAAATAGCCTATTTTCTAAATTTTTTAAGTGATTAAATCGGCAAAAATACGTTTTAGAAGCTATCTCACAGATACTTATATCAAGATATAAAAAGCCCACACAAATATTGCCACTAATATATTTTATATCTAGCGACAGCTGGACAGCAATAAATTTTATCCTATGGAGACGGCCAGTAAGGAAAGAGCGAAACTGATCGCACCTTCCGTGCGGAATCAGCTGTTTGTCCTCTTACGTATGTATGTACATATGTAACACATGCAGTGTTGCCGCATTGCCATTTGTTTACCGAAATTGGTAATTTTTTGATGTGTATACATCTTTGGTTTCGGTAGGGGTAAAATTTGCGAAGTTTTAACGCATATCCCAGCACAAAATTTCGAAGGGCTTAGCATGTGTATTTCAGCATACAATTTTTATTTTCATTAGAAGCACCCTGTGTTCGCTTGCCAAATGGTTGCATACATTTAGGCATATGCATAGTAAGAGGAAATGCGCTACAATTGATTATTAGCCGTCATCGATTCGCCACAGTTAGCAAGTGGCGAAACGAAAGAACTCAATGAGGTACAACCAAACTTGCTATCGTCTATCCGTGCTAGCTAACTTTGTTTTTGCTTTCACATGCAAAATTTTTCGTTAAGCGACCGGAACTCAAACATAGCGAGCGAGAAGTGGCGAATCGACGACGGCATGGCATCCTATGACACCCACAATGCACAAGATACTAATTCCTTATTAACAATAGGACAATTATCGGGGAGGCTCAAGAGGCCCACAACAAACACTACCGAGAAAATTATTCCCGGAAGTTTTCTCGAGTAGAATGTAACCGTGACATATATAACCGGCTGTTGATGAGCTCGGACTCGTTTTTAAGCAGTATTTCGGTTCATGACCAAAAAAAGAAAAAATATCAAATCGTTTTCCCCAGACACAATAAAGCTGCTGTTACCCTCTAAATCCGTTGTCAAAGATGTGACAAAGGAATAGTTTGAGGCCAGCGAAGATTCTGAAAGCGAAAACTAATTAACCAATGATAGTGTACACACATTTTATAAATAAAGGTAGTCAATATATTTAAATAGTAAATTATTGGCTAATATATATATTTTATTAATATAACCTATCTGTAATACAAATTATTTCAATTTTACATTTGATAAACAATTTTGAGTAGATAGAGGCAATAAAATATTTTTTGCCGCATAAAACTTGAAAATCTACCTATATGCGGTGTTTCCAAGATATTTTAACGCCCTTGAGTCACAAGTATATACAAGTATATTTTATCAATCATACCGATAATTTCATGTATTAAAAGAATTAAAAATGAAAATGAATAAAAAAATTAAATCAGCAAAATGAATAAAATTAAGTGAAATTAATGTTTAATTTCTAACCTAACCCACATTTTTATGTGTGTAACTGAATCGCCTTTATATATAAAAATGTTATCCTAATTTTCGAGCTTGACTCCCTAATCTGTTATTAGAAAAAGAGATTAGCCATGCAAAATTATAATTAAATATCAGCCAATCATGTATCCCGAAGCGAACGATCGTTTTGTCTGCCAGGCGTTTCGTTCGTGTGTTGGTAGTATGTAAGTCGATAAAGATATTAAATCATTAACCTACCGCCATTACATTAAGACTGTAAAAAACCTTGCGGTTGAGGTATAAATGGTGGTTGTCACTTCCTGGCGACTTAATACGAACGTGTGTTCCATCAACACAACTAATAACCCCGGGTATTCCGTATTTCTCAAAGAAATATTCCTTAACTGCATTCACCCATTTCTGGCAAAAATGGTCCTCAAAAATATTTAGGCATTCCCTGATCACGTTGGCTGCCCCATCGACGAAATATTTTCGTTGCCAACAGATTTTTGGTAACTGCCGGTGGCGAGAAATCTTAAAAAAGTCGCGAGTTTTAGCTGGTGCGATAGGTGGGTGCTTCTATGTGATGGAGCCATGTGCTCTTTTAATTCGTTTAATATGTATTCGAATATTTCTTTATTGATTCGGAAATTTGCAACAAATCTAGAAACTAATACATTGTAGCATACAAAAATTATTTGCTAATCTTGAACTTACTCAGTCTCAGGTAGTTCCATTACATTGGTGTGGTCTCGCAATCCCCTCCTCTGTATCCGCCTTTCCCTTTCTTCGGATTCCTCGGCGTCCATTAGCGCTATAGCAGCATACAATTTTGAAAATTAATTTTCCTTATATTTCATACCGCAACACAACCAAAACACTTTAAGCAAAACCAAAATGTAAACAATTCCGATGATGCCCATTTAAAATAAAAAGCATTGAAATAAGCTGAAAATATTAAAAATCTAAGAAAAACTCTTTGGAAGTACATCAAAATTTCATCCGGCAACATCATACAATGTAACCAAAACGATTGCAACGTAATCGACGTAAAGACAAGACGAAGACGAACGACAGAGTTACAAAATTTCAATCCGTGAGGATATCGCCTACAGACGAATCGTTCGAGCGGCCTATCTTCGAGATACATAATAAGGTTGTATATCTCAGATTAAACCGATAACTTTTTGGTGTCCAACCCAGTTTTATCGATTATACTTGCGAAGAAGAGGAGGAATGTCAAATGTTAAAGTAAACAAAAATTGATGCCAGTAAGGAAAATAAGTTTTGTAAAGGTATTTTTAATAAAATATTCAGTTAAAATATATTTAAATGGCACAACCAATTTGACAGCTAACGAGCTTTGATTGAGATTATATTTATATGTAAACGTACTTTTATGCTTTGCCGTTCGCATATGTATACACATCTAATTTCATGAGTACCGAGTACTCACGCCATTTTTTCTTTATTTATCATATTTGGTAATTTGGTAACTTATTTTTTAACATGGTAACTTTTTCGATGTAACACAGGTCAAAAGAAGTTCTGGTTCCACATTGGGAAGTGGGCCGCAAGCGTTTCCTTTTACAGAAACACCAGGTTATCCTGAAATTTTCGCAAGGCGAATAGTTCTTCGGCGTTTCTAGGTTACTATAATTGTGTGATCTACAACAAACTGCTTGATAGTGGCTATTGTTATATCTAACGAAATGTGGCAACACTGAACTCA